CGTGCCCTAACTTCCCCTGTAGGAGCCTCTACCCGCCTGCTTCCTCCGTAACCCTGCTCGCCGCTTTATTGGCGGTCCTACCGCCGCTAATAGCAAACGATCCGTCCCCATCCCCTCACACTGTTAACGCGATCACAGTACTACGCCACCAATACCTCACTTCCTCAACGACCTTCACAAACTCACAATCCCAAACCCTAGAAATACAGAGTGAGAGGCCACGGTACAGTTGGGTTTGTTACAGTCCCTGCATTCAGCCATGAACTTGTACGGGAACTTCAAAAAATCTATAAAATAAAATGGAAGAAGAATTAGAAAACAAAGAAAAAGCTCCAACAGCTTCCAGATGAAACTAAACACAGAACGCGATCGATTTGAACCCTAGCGTATGTCCGACGACATGGATCTCTCAGAAAAAAAAGAGTGGGAAAAAAAAAAAAAACTTTTTTTCTGAGAATTATTTGGATGAACTGTACGGATTTCTTCACATAGAAAGGTTCAGATTGAACAGAACAGAACGGTTTAGTGTGGCGATCTAAGAGTTCAGCAGAGCTTGTCAGCTTGCTGAGAGGGGACTAGCTTTGAAGCTTTAGCTGAGAAGATGTATATCAAGTGCAGCAAAATTCAAAGCTCTGAGCTGCATTCGCTGCCATTTTTAACGACAATGCAGCTTTTTAGCTTTTTCTAGAGAGGGAAAAAGCAGAGAGAGAGAAGCTTCAATGGCTTTTTTCTTTCAGAGAGAGAGAGAGTGTGTGTGCGAAAAAGCAGAGAGAAAGAAGGCGCTTTTGGTGCGAACTGCGAATGAGAGAGAAGTCGCCGAGTGAGAGGAGGAGTGATTTGTTTATAAAATAAGGAGAGTTTACCTTCGCATGCTGTTCATTTTAGCTTTTCTTTACGAAACGTGCACAATCGTTGATATAATGTGCCGGATGGTGCTATACTGCGCATCCTTGGTGACCGCAGACCACTCACCACTAACCCTCCTTATGTGTAATTACCCTACGCATCCTGCGCACTTTAGTAACTCCCACCTTTGTGTCTTGAGTGTGAAAGATGGGAAAGGGTGAAAAAAAATGGTGGCTCAGGAGAAAAGAAGAGTGATGAGGAATTTGGCTATTGGGTGGGGGGTTGTATTATTGAGTTTATATATAATTTTGGAAAAGGAAATCCATTGATCCCAATTTGGGGCTATGAGTACACTTTCTAGGTAGTGTCCTTGATGGCCAACAACATCATGCCCATGTGAGGAAATTGATCCTTATCTTGCCCTCAATTTTCAAGGATACAATCCCCACCTCTTTTCTTAACCAACAACAAAATAAGATGAACTCATCCCTCTCCCCCTATTCCCTTTTGTTTTTACAATAATTTTATTGCCCCAAAGTTGTGACATCTTACACCCCCTCAATTTTCAATGTTTCCTTTCATACGTTAACATTTTTCCGTTCAAACCATACGATAGATATTACCACTTCTTTCTTAGTCTGGTGGTAGTTGTCTCCGGTTAGTTAAATGAGGTTTTGGATTCGACTCATATAAGTATGAGAATGATACATTTTAGTGAGTATCCTATCATCAAGCGTTATTTGGAAACTTTAGTATATTAACAATGATACTTGAGAGCATTTCCCGAGTATTAAAGGCATAGTCGACAAAGTCTATTATGTTGATAACTAGAAGTAAAATGTTGTCAAATTATCCATCTTGGTGACTAAACATTAGGTATTTTGATGGATTTAGTATTATTAAAACACAGAAGGAAAACCAAGTTGGCCATCGGATGCTCATCGAGCGCCATTCAAGCATGATGATAATGTTTTCCATAAATCCAGAGAGCTCAAAATTTGGTTCAATTTATGGAGGTGTGGCCAAATGTTTGGCTCTTCCTTGGTTTTCATGACATATTTATGAAGCAGCCTTTCCTGCACTGCACCAACTGGACATAATTTTTCGAATCCCATGATTTGTGTTTTAACAGTGCGATATTCGGTGATTATTGTCATTGATTTATAATCATTTTCTCTTTTTTTTAGCTTTGTTTTATATTTAATTTGTTTTTACTAGTCATGAAGAGAAACAAACAAAACAAAATGGAAAAAGAATAAAGGAACAAAATGATCGCATTGTCTGTTTATTTTTTTCCCCCAATCAATCATTAACAATTGAAATTCTTTATTTATCATCTCTAATCAAATCAAATGATCTTTTTTTATGGCTTTAATCCAACAAATTTAATTTGTCGGAAGTTATCCGAAGGGTTTTTCACCTAATTTCACTAGCAATACTAATGGCCATTAATCATAGTTTTTTTAAAAAGTTTATTTAATATATTTAATATTTTATTTTCTGAAAGTTATTTCTGTGTTGTCGCATTTGACCCTTGTCAATTCTCCTTAACTTTGAAGATTTGAAATGCTTTGGACGGTTAATAATTTTGATTAATTTTCTCAAAGAATTAGTGTCTATGAAGGCTTAGAGGCTATAGCTAGTCGTTGAATGAAGTCAACTAGGTTATGCATGAATAAGCGCAATTAGTGATGCAAATGACATATCATTTTCCAATGTATAAAGAATAGTGAAAGGAATGAGTAGGATTGCCCATGAATACAAAGAGACAAAGGAGAATGATAGCTTCCTCCCATATCAAACATGATATCTTTGATTTGAGCATTTGTCCCATGCTAGAGAAATGGAAGTTTTGCATTAGCGTTTTAAAATCTCAAACATCTTTATCAAATTCATTGTCAATTAATTTTGAGTCGTATATGCTAATTGTATGTAGATTTAACTCCGTATAATATGAGTTGTCGATTGAAATCATAAAAAGAAATAACCCACATAGTGTAGTGATAAAGAGATAAACACAAAGCAAGTTGTAAATTCAAACATTCTAAATTTCATTATTCATTCTTCAAGGACTAAAGGCACTCAAGCTTATTTGATACATATGTTTTTTTTTACAAATGATTACTCGTAACGAAAGTCTTGTATTGTATCCATCAAGGGCTTATAACTCTTGCATTTGAGAGCATTACTTCAACACCTAAAGTTAAAAGTTCGAATCCTCTCTTCCCGTTGGCTGCTCTTATAATCGAAAAAGTAATCGATAAGAGAATGGTGATTGGAATTTTTCTTGTCCAAAGAAATTAAAAATGATAGAGAAAGATAGTGTGAAAGTTTTGAAATTGCATATGTAGATTCCAAAAGGGACCTTTTCATTGCTTTCTCTTTCTTTGTTTGACAGAGTTGGGAACCAAGATCATCCCAAGTAGATCTAGTAGCTTAGCTTTTTACTAACATGTAATCTATCAAGGTGATTCCTTAGTCTCCTTTGTCATGAGTATTATTTTGATCTGCTCTCTCTCTCTCTCTCTCTCTCTCTCTCTCTCTCCATCAATATCGACGGGCGTCAATGTGGAAGCTCCATTTGAATCCAATGTTACATTATGGAGAGAGAGATATGTCAAACTAGTGGCCATTACAATTTACATTAATAAATTGTCCTCATTTATTCTTTAATTTTGCCAAAAATATAAAAGCAAGAGCAGCCAGATAAATAAAAAAAGTGCATATCTTTCTTTCTCTCTTTTTATCTTGGAGGCTTGTCAACTTGCCAAACTCTATGAGGACCCATATGTGGCCCTAACGAATCAAGTGAAAGAGAATCCTATGATGATTACGATTTAAATTTTTGATTTTTTAGATTAACCAACTTTTCATATTGTTTAATGCGAGATTCATAATTACATAGATTAATTTTAACTTTACAAGCCGACAGATTAAGAAAAAAAAAAAGAAGCAGAATGCTTGTTTAATCAAAATATATTACTATGAAATGAATTTTCCTTTTTTTTTATATATGAATATAAATTTACATTTTGTTTTTTTTTTGTTACAAGCGATATCGGGAGGAGAGGGATTCAAACAAAGGACATCCGATACAAGAATAACTCCTCTTAACCACTTGAACTACAAATCTCTTACAATATTAGCTCACAAAATTGGTGCAACATAAAATGTTCAATCAGTCGAGTAGTCAACTAGATAATGATATTTCCATCTCCATTAGAAACAAAATAATGTTATATTTTCTTTGAAAGTTTTGTTTCTTCAATAATGACCATTAACCATTAAAAACAAGCAATTAAATAACTATTAGTAAGATTGATAAGAGTCCAAACCCCAAGATCTATAATCTTTGGAAAAGTTACTTTCAGAGAATATAATGACAATGATATTTCAAAAAACAATTATCAGAGCAGAGGTATTGAGTCTATTGACCAATGTATATATGGGAAAGTCAAACACGATGTGTCTAATAAAATAAGTTACGTGCCAAAAAAGAAACACCCCACTCACCAAGGAAGGTACAAAATGATTTCAAGCCACAAGTAATTTTGGTAAGATTAGGACTTAAGAGATATATCCAACTTTCCAACTTTCCAACTTTCCAACTTTCCTACTTGTGCACTTGAAGCTTGAAAGATAAGGTGGATTTAGTGGCATTTTTCATTCATTAAGCTACTAAAAATTTGTTGATTATAGCACAACAAACTTCCATCCACGAGATTTATATTCGGAATATCCGAATCTCCTTCAATATAGTAAAGATTAAGATGCAACTAAACGAAATGGTGATTGGCTACTTTAAATTTGGAACTTATATCGCTCAAGCGGCGATACTCTCTCCTGAGTATCTGTTATATAGGTACTAACAAAATCTTTGTATATAAAAGCTTTGTAGAGTGGATTGAAGTCCATAACTAGGGCTTTTGCAGGCTCAATATGGCAGGTGCTCGAAGGATGTATGAAGCTGGTGACTGTGGTCCTTGAAACCTTGTTGTTTGTCACAACTCTGTGGGCTGCACTGCTCAGCTTCCCATTGCTGATAATCTGCAACACAAATTCATGACAAAACTGTTTTTTTTAATTGCATAGGGACTAAAAATGGAAAAAATTACTAAAAGGAGCTAGATGAGTATGTGTGGGTGCAGAACCTGTAACATGTGGCCTATATTAACCACAAATGCATTGGGGACGGGCTCAACAGCAAGCCATTGCTCATCTTTCAAGACTTGAAGCCCATGAACTTGTTCTTGGAGAAGAAGAGTTATGAGGTTCACATCACTGTGTTTAGGCAATCCCAAGGTTAAGCTTGGGTCTGGACATGGTGGATAATAATTTGTAGCCATCGACTGGACTTGGTTGAGCTTACCCTAAAAAAATCTAGATTTGAGCCCTAACCCTTCACAGATAAGATCCAGAAGACACAAACTCAACTTCCTCACCTCCACAGAGTAACTTCCAAACACCTCTCTGAAATTGCAGAAGAAAAAAAAAACAGAAAATGCACATCTTGAGTCTTTGATGTTGTTAATTAATGGTGATTTAAAAATAAATGCATGTTTTGAACGGGGGATTAGCATTAAACATACCAATAATTAGCCGGTTTTTGAGGCCAGAAATCAATGTGTTCCTCTAGAGGATGACAAGGGTGTCTCAAAGTGTCTCTCCAGTAATGTACCTGCTCCCTTACATAGTCAATGCTGGTGTACAATCTGCAACTTTACCTAGCATCTTCAGAATACAAGCTTGCTTTGTCTTCAGAAGGCAGCTCAAAGAACTCCTTGCCCACATTCATTACATTATGCAGCAAATTGTCTGGAACCCCATGATTAATCAGCTGCATTTGCCATCATAAAACTAACTAAGAAAGAGTTATTATTCAAATAAACCCACAAAATAGAAGATACAAAAAGAATGCCAAACCTGGAAAAATCCAAATTCTTTAGCAGCTTCTGTAATTTGCTTGATCAGCTGGGCCTTGTCAGTACCAAGTTGATGAAAATCAATGACTGGGATGTTCTCAAATATAGAAACTTGCACATTTCCGGGTCTAGTTCCAGGGGGCAATATGTAAGATTCAGGTACAGATTGCAAGTCGCTTCTGTTTGATATGAGCTTCTCCATTTTTCCAAAGCAAGTTCAAATGAAAATGTCCTTAAATTTTCAGCTAGTTATTTTTCTTGTATCAGTACCAAAATTTATATATATATATTATTTATGGGAGAACAATTTTCACATAATAAATCTTGAACCTAAATAAGAACAAAGCTGAGCTCAGTGGAATCAGAAACCTTAGATTCGTCACCCACAACAGTACAAAATAACCATTAACTGGATTTTTTCTTATATGGCCTAACCAACCATGGCCAACAACCATTTTTTAATCTGTGTGCAGCCTGGTCCTGGATTCTAGCTGCAACCCTCGCCTGGCTATTGTGACAGAGGTGATAAGTGTCAGCATGACAATAATTTAGTGAAAATAAATAGGCTGGATCTGCAAGCAATTTTGTTTAAGAATATTTTGATAGTAAAATATGCTTCTAACCTTGCAGCATCTTCATTGTTTTTTGGTTTTTTATTTTTAGGTTAGATTTTTATATATATTTTAGGTACATATGAGGACCCAGAGGCCCAAAAACAGAAAACTCACATCAGTACATCCCTGGCCCGATTAACACCTCAGAGATCATCAGCTAGTAAGCCCAAGAAAGAGAGGCTTCCATTTTAATGAAGAACTCTTGACTTCATCTATTACCAATTTGGCAAGCATTTTTACAGTTAAGGCCATCTCCAGTCATAGGGCTAAATATAGTCTAGGGCTAAAAATTTAGCCCCTCAAAATATTAATTTTTTAAAGAATAGTGCAGGGCTAAATTTTTCCATCTCCAGCCATGCAGGACTATATTTTAGGGTCCTTCATATTTTATTATTTTGAGAAAAACTATGGTACAACACTCATACATTCCACAACTATATATTGTTTGATTTAATTAAACTACTGTTTAATATATTGTTTATAATTTTTTTTAAAACAACACTTGAAAAGATTTGAAAAGCTAACCATATTTATTTATTTATTTTTTTTTAAAAAGGGAGTGGGTAGGTCCAACGGTCATTTTAAAAATCTGACTACAAATTTGAAAAGCTGACTATTTTTATTATTTTAAAAATCTATATAGATCCAGCAGATGTAGCATCCTAGGGATAGATGGCAGTTGAAAAGCAAATTATGGGTCCCACTACAAATTTGGCCCATTCCTAAAGCTGGGCTACATATGGCCTGATTGGAGGGCTAAAGGGCCGAATGTGGCCAAAATTTTATTTAGCCCATGACTGGAGATGGTTTTGATATTATTTTAGGGCTATATTTAGGAAATAGCCCATGGCTGGAGATGGCCTAAGTAGTTCATTTCCTTGGCTAAATTTGCTCTATCTTCTGTTTTTCTGGTGAACTTGGTTTTAATGGACAATTGAATTAGAACTTAATCATAGCCAAAATAAAAAAGATGATCCAAATTCATTAGGATTTGGGGGTCATGAAACCAAGTAGCCCCCAACTCACTTGGAAAGAAAAAGAGAAAAACTTTAGGGACTTTTAGGTATTTAAGTCCAAAATGAACCTATATAAATGCACAAAATATAGAATGAAATCAAACACAATACATCAACTTGTATTTGTACAAAAATCTCTCAACCAAAAATTTATGTAGTCTCCAATCAATGGACAAGCATGCTTGTTTTATTCCTCCACTTCTTCTGATGTACAACTTGATAAGCATGCTTTGGTTTCCACTCTCATCCAATTTTCTCTTAAAACCTTTGCCATGTCCCATGCATGCATGATATGTAAACATCACCAACCTTGAGGCCACCTTTTCTGAGGATCCCATCTTGGGAACCATGACTTCTTCTTTGAATTTGAACCCAGTGTAGTAGTAGCAGCAGCAGCAGCAGTCTTCCTCTTTGGTGTGAACAAAAGCTTCAAGATAAATTGTTTTCTGCTCCGGCTCGGCATTGGAGGACATTGTTGTTTAGATGCAGGAGACTTAGGCAGGTTGTTGAACTCATCATCCTCAGCTGGGAAGATCTCGTCGCGTGTTCGAATTGTGTTGAGCCTCAGATACTTCTGTTCAAGTGACTCTTTTGGTATGTTTCTTGCTAACAAGGGAGAAGCACCACCCCAGTTGTTTGCGGCCAACCCCAATGATGATGGGTGTTGGGGTGTTCTAAATTCCAGCAAGTCTCTCTGCCTCATATCTGCCTCCCTCTAATTCCCAGCCTTCCAATGTAATGCTCTTTGTGCTGGCATCTTGGGCATCTTTTTATTGTAGCTGTAAGAAATTAAATCCCCAAAGCTCCATTGGTTTCTTCACATCCAATTATATTAGTGATTAATTAGTAGTTACTTTACTAAGCCGGCCTCTCATATTCTCAATCACAATCTGTTACATATGGAACTTCATTATGTCATGTATGCATATACAAATTATACGATATATATAAGATCCATCCATATATATACATACAAATTATACGATATATATATATACGGTCCATATGTGACCATAAAGAAAAATTCAGTCACACTACCACATATGACCTTAAATTTTGATGGTTTTTGTCTTTCATTCAGGAAGGTCCAAATGGTAACTTGTGATTCAGAAGGGTTGAGAATTGTTGGAGACAAAAGGGGACGATTACTTCAAGAACTTGGTGATGTAAACGTCCATTTGAGCAGACAAAAATGGTGCAGATGCCAACAAAAAAGGAAGCTACAAAGTTATTTCCTAGTTGGTTGGTCCTTGTTAAATTTTGTTGTTCTTTCTTTCTTTCTTTCCTTTTTGAGTTCTTGGGATTTTTTTTCCTGCAACCTAAAAAGGATTGTTCTGCACTGCAGAAGAAGTTTACAGCAGCAAGATAGAAGAAATCAGGTCCAGTTTTCTATGCAAAAAAAAAAGATTTGAGGGAAAAGAGAGGACCACCAATTTCCAACAGGAAGAACAATTCTGATTCTCCACAGCACCACGTGTTATAATGAAAACTAAATCACTAAAAGAAAGATTGCACAAAAGAATCGTTATATGTCAAGGGATTAAGCATCTGGAAACAAAGCAATTCTCTGCATCAATAAACTGAAGGGCCAATATAGTAGTATACATGTATACTAGAAAACCACATTATAAGCCACTGATATACCTGTGGAGTATATTCCTGTTCATCACAGACAACCCGAGGCCAAAGGGCGTTGGCCACTGTTGGCATGTCATGGCTAGGGAAACTGTGGCTTATGTCCCTTTTTCTAGCAGGGACAAATACATCAGTATGCTTTGAACTATTTTAACTGTTTGTGATTTTCTTTTCAAATATTTCACCATAACTGTTTTAAGCTTAAATCCTACATCCTACATCCATTATTAATTCCTTTCTAATTTCTAAATTACTTTCAATACATACATATATCAAACATTCAAATATCCACAAGTGTTTGTGCTTTCCACAATGTTCGTCCACACATGAATCAAGTATTCAAAGAATCTTGTAAGAATCAATTTCAATACTAATTTAATGATATTCACCCTTTTTCAATTTAATATATCAAATAACACATTCATTTAATCTGACAGAAACCATTTAATATAACATATACTACACTAAAATATATAGGACTTTTCTCGCTTGTTTAATTCCGACAGACCCATACAATTTTTTATTCAGGCCAAAGAAAAATAAATAAATCTTATTGAAAAAAATAAAGAGGCTAGGCATTTCGTCAAAACAGCTTGGCTCCTAAGAGGAACTAAAGGGGGGCACTTGCGGCAAGGCTTGAAAAGCTTAGCCAGGGGAAAACTTCAGTAAATGCAACCACTCCCGCGCTCTATGTGACTCCGCCACCGGTTTACTTATGCATCTGCTAAAGAGATAGTTGAAAAAATATTGGCCATTGCACTGATTTCAGGAATATAATAAGTGCAGCCAATCTAGCACATTGAAAAGAATATAACCATACTTCTGCTCTGTCATTTTCACAGCAATAATATCATGATCAAGTAGGAATTTAACCAAGAACATGATACTCTCAACATGCAGGCATAACCAAAACAGAATTCTTTTCAGTGCTTTGATTATAAACAAGCAAAGAGTAGCAAAAAAATATGTTGCAGAAGATCAAGCTATGGCACCGGTAGTATGTCCATACATGGTCTACATGAGATTCAAGCCACATCTTCTCATGGTTTTGACACAGATCGGCTATACATTTCTCTACTTTATAACCGCTGCATCCTTCGATCACGGGATGAACCCTCATGTCTTTGTAACCTATAGACATATAGTAGGTGGCTTAGTGATGTTTCCATTTGCCTATTTTCTTGAAAGGTAAATGACTGAGGCCCTCATGCCTTTATACTGCAACAAAAAAGTCTCATCATTCTAAGGGTTTACCATTTCAATTTCCTTTTTTGTTTTCCTGCAGAAAAGTAAGGCCAAAGTTGACACTAGCATTGTTTGTGGAGATATTTGTACTTTCTCTGCTAGGGTAGGGTACATATTTTTCTTCCAATTAACATGAAATGAGATATTGATCTTTGAAATTATCTGATGCAGGAAAAAACTAACCTTTTTCTCTTGATGAAAAACAGGGTTAGCTTAACCCTTAATATATATTTTGCAAGCTTGAAGTACACTTCTCCAACCTTTGTCACATCAATTGCTAACACCATTCCATCCCTGACTTTTCTAATTGCTGTCATACTCAGGTGGGGGCGCTAAGTGTTCATGTATACCTGGGAGATAAGTATACATCTTTCTCTTTCTTTTGACAAACTTTTTAATACAAATTTCATGTAGGCTGGAGGCTGTAGACGTTACGAGTTCCCATGGAATAGCTAAAGTCTTCGGAACCTTACTATCTTTGGCTGGGGGCATGACCATGACCTTGTACAGAGGACCTGCTGTGCAA